CTTCTCCTTGGCTGTTTTTATCTTCCATTCAGATCAGCAGGCGGGCAGTTTTAAAAGCCCTGTAATAAGTGTAGGTCCATGCAGGTCAATTTGTTTCATGGACTTTTGATTGGCTTTTAAAATCAAGCAAGAATTAATGTCTGAAATACATTCCTGATTTTGAAACATTAAATGGTAAGGTATAAAATTGAACACACATCCTCCTTGATGGAGATCTACACAGCAATCCTGAGTTTACTCAGAAGTAAGCCCCATTGGAGCTGCGGTGGCTCAAGTGGTTAAGACGCTGAACTGCAGGCTGTGGAAGGTCAGTAGTTCAGCAGTTCAAGACTCGGGTGCCGCAAGACAGGGTGAGCTCCCGTCTCTAGTTCCAGCTCCTGCCAACCTAGCAGTTCGAAAGCAAGAAATTGCAAGTAGATAAATAGGTACCACTTCGGTGGGAAGGTAACAGCGCTCCGTGCGCCTTGGTGTTTAGTCATGCCGGCCACATGACCACGGAAACGTCTTCAGACAGCGCTGGCTCTTCGGCTTTGAAACGGAGATGAGCACCGCAACCCTAGAGTTGGATTCGACTGGCTTTCGAGCAAGGGAACCTTTACCTTTACCTAAGCCCCATTCCATTCATAGATAAGTATTTTTAGTATTGTAGCCCTAATTTCAAACTCCCAGCTTGGAGCATTGCTGATTGCCTGACATGGCAAGCCGCTGCACCAGATGTTGCAGTCAATGCCCATATGAATTGTCACTGTGCTATTGACTTAATTGTGCAGCAGTGGTTTATATGGACATTGACAGTACTATCACATGTGACACAATGCTTAATGAAATCATTTCTGCAGGCCACAACAATGTGGTAATCTGTGGGCAACATATTCATCTCAAAACTGTGACTCTGGCTATGTGAATTAGTGTCCCAGTCATGGGGTGACAATTTTTGCAAAGGAATACATCCATTCACATAAAGACAAAGGTTTTGACCGCTCCTTATCTAAAGCTATTGACTAGATAAATCAGAGACACAGGATGCGGTCATCCTAGGTTTCAGAACATTTGTGTACTGCAGATTCTGCTTAACAGCCCTACCAATAAAAAAAACCCTAAAAGAAGAAAAAGAATTAACTCTGAAGAGGGACATTTATGTCTATGATTTATGGAAGAAGTAATGGGAAGCTTCAGTACAAGCTGGCACAAGAGCTTATCAAAGGTAGAACAGGTCCCTCTTGTTAAAAAGAATGTACCATCCAAATACTGAGCCCACACCAAAAGAGGATAATGTACTTCCATGCAAATTTTACAGTGAGGAGTGGGGTATTTCAATCGTCATTCACCATTACCATTAACAGCTCCATGTGAAGGTGTCTCACACATGCATGAGGGAGAGAAGTGGGTACGTGTGTGTGTGTTTTATCACACTGTGTGCAGGTATCACAATTTTACTAGCATTTCTCTGGTTCAGGAGTCCTCAAACTTTTTGAGCTGCTGAGCAGCTTTTGGAATTTTGAGTGAGGAATTTTGAGTGACATCTCCTTGTTGCTTCAGCGAGGGGATTGGGGGGAGGCATTCTGGGGGTGGGCAGGGGCATCACACAATGTCCCCAATGCAATGACGTCACCCAGAAGGGGGATGCTCTAGTTTTTGGGCTTAAACCATAGAGTTTGCACCAAAACCAGAGCCTCCCACTGTAAAATGGCTGCCACAGGAGGTGGAGCCAGTCACAAAATGGCTGCTTCCTGCAACCGAACACCACACCCACACTCCAACAGAAGTTGGTTACGTTTTGCTTTTGCAACATTAAGGCCATTTGGAAGTCACAAGAGAAGGGGGGGAAGCGAGGGAGAGAATGCTGACTGTGGAAACTGCCCTATCCATGTCTACAAAAGCAGAACCAAATGCCACAGGGTTATAAATAACTCCTCATCTAATTTAGAATCCAGTGGCACCTTTAAGACCAACAAAGTTTTATTCAAGGTGTGAGTTTTTGTGTGCTTTCACACCTTGAATTAAACTTTGTTGGTGCCACTGGACTCTAACTCTGTTTTACTGCTTCAGACCAGCACGGCTGCCCACCTTGATCTACTCATCTAATTACCTATGATGAATAAAGAATGCCTCCAGGTGACTAACCAAAAAACTACAATACTTGGTTCACAGTTATCCCAGATCAGAATAACAGGGGAGAAAAACAAGTGATAATGACCACTTGAAACTTATACTAGCCCTATTCACATCTCACAGTGAACACATATCATGTATACACCTCTTTGTAAGAAAAAGCCAACATACATTCATTTTACAAATAAAACTTGGGACAAGTACCCCTAGATACATGTGGAGTTTAAATCACATATTCAGCCGTATTTGTGTTTAAAGTAACGTGAGAATTACTAACTGCACATATAAAGGAAAATCAAGTATACACCGTAGATCAGGGGCCCGTGGGAGCCATGGATACTTTTCCTGGTGCCCGCCAAGTGTTCTGAGGAAATAGGTAGGGCCAGGTGGGGGGGTTTGCTCAGCAAGGCTCCTGATTGACCACTGGAGAGTTGATTGATAGTGCAGATTTTTGAAAAGGCTGGTTTGGCAGAAGCTACTACCACAGCACAAGGGTCTTCATCGTGTGACTGAAGGTAAACTGTGGCAGCCATTGTGTGGCTAGTTCTGGATCCTGGGGCAGCCATTGCGTGGCTGGCTCTGCCTCCCACGGAAGCTATTTTGTGGCAACCATTTTGTGGCTGCACCCACCACTCTGTGTCAGAACTCCAAAGGTGCCCGCAGGCTCAAAACGTTTGGTGACCCCTGCTGTAGATGGATTATACATGCATTCACTGTAACCGGTGAACAGAATCCCACCCAGAGATTCCCAGGAAAAGTGACATCAGAAGGCGAAGCAAAAGGGGAGGGGAGGCATCTGCAAAAGCCTCCCCTTCCCTTTCCCAGCTGGCCTGGGGGGGGAGAGCAAAGAGAGAAGTTGGGCCACAGAAGGAGGAAAGAGAGAGAGTAGAGAGAAGGAAAGAAGGAAGGAAAGAGGGAAAGAAAGAGAGAGAAGGGGAAAAGGAGGGAAACAGGGAAAGGAGGAAAAAAAGAAGAGAAGGAGGAGGGAAAGAAAGAAAGAGAGAAGGAAAGGAGGAAAAGAGAGGAAGAAGAAAAGGAAAGAAGGGAAAGATGGCAAAGAGATGGAGAAAGGGAGGGAGGCTCTCCCACCATCCCACATCAAGCCCCCGCCACCCCCACACCTGTGGATCCCTTACTTACTGCTTCGGCGGGGGCTGGGGAAGCCAGAAGCGGGGTTCTCTGGCCTCCCCCAAGCTGCAGCGCTCCTGCGCAGGCCCGGAGGATGCAGTGGCGGGGCTCTCCTGGCATCCCTCGAGCCGCAGCACTCCTGCGCAGGGACGGGGGACACAGCAGCGGGACTCTCCGGCCTCCCCCGAGCCACAGCACTTTTGGCATGGGGAGCTAGGTGCAGGGCTTGCTGTCGCCGCCATTAGCGCGGGCTCCTGGGCTGCCGGAGCGGAGCTCCGGGGCGCTCCAGCCCCAAAAGACCCCTGCCTACGACACTGTCTATTGGGCACCAGGCAAACACAAATTCCTGCCAACAGTTGCCAAAAGGTATGCCAAAACCCAAAGATCACACATCCAGCAGTAGAATGCCAAGGGGTATGGACAGTGGCAGACTCTGGCAGTTAACCCGAGGCTATAAACAAACACCCGAAACGCCAGCACAAAACAGGTGGTGTTTAATGCATCAGTTTCTCATAGCATAACCCCCCGCCCATGATTGTAGACGGGCAATGGGCAGTCCAAAAGCTCATTTCTGGAAATGCTTTGCTCCGGAGAACACTTCCCACAACTTTTGCCATTTAATCCTTCCAGTAATACATCGTTATGCTGTGAGCACAGTTACCCACAATTCCATTTACTCAGTGCTAGAAAAAAAAGTCATCCATAGCAATGGAACCACCAAAACCTGCCAAACAGCCTGTTGCAAATCAACCATTAGCAGCACTGAACTGAAGTTACAGCTACATGCAAGCCAATCCATCTTTTCTGCTTGGGATCACAACCCACAGCTTGAGAGATCCTCGCTTCAATATACATTTCCAATCATGGGAATATCCTTGCCAACCCAGCCCATGGGAGTCACCAAAGAGGGTGAGAACATAATACTCCCCTCCCTCCCCAGAATCTCTTGGGAGACAGAGAAAGGGATCAGCATGTACCTTTCATCCCGAACTTTGACCGCCGGCCATACTTGTTGATCATGATGAAAAGGACCACCAGAAGGACGCAGGCAAAGGCTGCGAGTCCGACAGCTATGGACACCTGCAAAGGAGACCGTGGACATTAGAGACTCAGAAGGCATCACTGCCATTCAAAACGGAGTGGCTACATTTCTGCTTTCCACAGTCAAAGCAAGTGTCAATATCAATAAGAATGAGTGTAATATTACTGAAACCGGTTCAGATCATGAAAGTGGGCATGGCATAGAGGCCAAGAGGAACAACAAACATTTTGATTTTACTGCTGCTTCTGTTATGACCTCACCTGGATAGCTGTAGGCAACCAAGGTGGACCCCCCCCCGGGTTCCTGCCAGCCCAGGTTAGTAATTCTCATGTTACTTAGATGGCCCCCACCCGCATTCAGCTCACATACACAAACATAACGTAACATCAACTGGCTCGCTCCAAGGGATGCAATCTCAAAGTATACTTAGGTAAAGGTAAAGGTTCCCTTGCTCGAAAGCCAGTCGAATCTGACTCTAGGGTTGTGGTGCTCATCTCCATTTCAAAGCCGAAGAGCCAGCGCTGTCCGAAGACGTTTCCGTGGTCATGTGGCCGGCATGACTAAACACCAAGGCGCACGGAACGCTGTTACCTTCCCACCGAAGTGGTCCCTATTTATCTACTTGCAATTTCTTGCTTTCGAACTGCTAGGTTGGCAGGAGCTGGAACTAGAGACGGGAGCTCACTCCGTCACGCGGCACCCGGGTCTCGAACTGCTGAACTAGTAAATCCCATTGAACATAGTGGGACTTAGTTCTGAGTAGGCACAGGAGGAACATCAGTACGCTCCCTCTGTTCCCCGCAGCCTGGGCTCTGTGGCTGCCTGTGGTACTCTGGCCCTTCTGCCCCCCTCCCCAGATCTGGCACCCTAGGCAATCACTTAGGTTTGCCTAATGGGTGGACCAGCCAAGCTAACCTCTCAGCTCTCTACAGTTCTACTGACCTACCTCACAAGGTTGTTGTATGAATGGTAGAGGTAATTATAATGAAGCACTTTAAACACTATGTGCAGAAGTATAATATTCTTAGTTAAGTTTAGCTCTATTTCGGGTCATCTGTACTCCCTTGGAGCTCTTCTACACACTGGGAAGGATGCTGCAGCTACATATTTCTTAAGGAGTCTTGAATTGGTGGCCACGAAGGCTCAGCTATCACCACTTTTTGTTGAATCATAAGAAGAGTCCTCCCCCCCCCCAATCAACCAGTGGTGTGTCCTGTTTCACACAGAGGCCAACAACTGGCTTCCTCCTAGCATCACATCACATTTTTCTTCCTCAGGATGTGAAGGTTTCCTTTAGTTGAGGCAAGAAGCAACAGTCCCTCTAAGCTCCACGGTGTGGTGAGAAAAAATTCTATCTCATGAGTGGAAAAAGCTAGTAGTATTAAAGTTGTGAGCGAGTCTATATTTGACGATCGCATAAATTAGTTTCTTAGAAAATTATCTCCACAACCTTGTAAAAATCTCAGAATGAATTATTTTAAACTATATTTTAAGAATAATTTAAATATCATAAAAGAAAACAGAATCAAGTCAAATTTCATTACAGAAAATGTTGTCCTCCATGGGGGTAGACCAGGCCTCTGGAGAACAGGTCTACCCTTCCCTTTCCACTATATTGGTAGATCTGGCCTTGAACCGTTGCCCTGTGCTGAGCCCCTTAGAAAAAAACCCTTCTGGGGGGGCTATTTTTGAGGCAAAGATACCAAATTTGCAGTATAGCTGCTGATGCCTCTCCTCAACTCTCCCCCCCCCCAGTTTTCAAAAAGACTGGACCAGGGTGTCCAGTTCTATGGGCCCCAGAAGGAGGTGCCCCTATCCTCCATTGTTTCCAATGGAGGGGGAAATGCTTGTGAGCTGGAAGCTGAAATCCCTGAGCAGCTCACTAAAATGTTGTGCGCTGGCACCCCCTAGCACAGCTTAGAGGGAACACTGGCAAGAAGTATTTTGTTTTGTTCATCTTGACTCTGCTTCCAGTAAGCTACTCCTCCTTTGTTGCAGGTATTTTGCCTGAGCATGGCTGGAGGTATGAGCCTTGGGCATAAAATGAAGGGCAAGAACCAAAGGGATGATCTCATAACTCACATCCTGAGACCTTACATGAGCCAGGCCAGCATGTCTAGGAATAACCCACAATGTGGTGTATTGCACTGAAGGCTTTTGTTTGTTTGCTTATTTAAATTGTATCTTTGTAATTTATAAGCAGCTTTGGATCTCCACTGGGGAAAACATCAGGGGTTAAAATATTTACACAATTAAAATAATTAAAATAATATCATACTGGCACATTCCTTCAGGCCCTGACCTGAAGGGCCCAGGGCTAGTCCAATCTCATCAGATCCCAGAAGCCCATCAGGGCCGGCCCTGGTTTGTACTTGGATGGGAGACCACCACTGAGGGAGTGTTGCTATGCAGAGGCACGCCATGGCAAACTGCCTCTGTTTGTCTCTTGCCTTGAAAACTTGACACCACTTCCCACCACCACATTCTAGGGGGGGGGGTCACAAGTATGGTTCCAGCTCCTCCTAGATCCCAAGTTTGATATCACCTTAGGAGTGGAAAGGTTCAAACTGGACATAAAAGAGCAGGGATGTGATTTCCAAAATGGCACAAACCCTTAGTGGAGGGTGGGAAGTGCTAGACAAGGCAGGAGAAAAGGCGAGGCGGGGAGGAGGGAGCAGGCAGCTCTGTTTCCAAACAGAAAGCTTTGCTAGAGGCACCAGTAGCTCCTTCTGCACATATTGACAGAATATTTATTCCAGGCTTTTTGGTGTACAGACAGCTTTCTCTCAGGGGTTTCTTCCTTCTGCATTTGGGAAAATATTCGTTCAGCTTTGTGCAACTTGCTTAGCTTGTAAAAAACCTTTCCCCCTTTAAAAGTGAAATACATTTCAAGTAAAAACAAAGGGACATTTTGTTCCTTGCAGGCTCCCGCCTCATTCTGCCTTGGATTAGCCTCATGCTTTTATTTATACATTTGTGTTTTTGTTAAATATGCCTAGACGGTTTCTGCATTGCTTTTTCACTACAGTGTTCATGGTGGGGAGATGCTGAGGGTTGGAACACTCCCCTGTGGAAAAAGGACTGTGCAGACAGAAATTTAGCATGGCAGAGAGAAAGGTCAGCTTTCTCCCTGGCAGGCTATATTTCCATCTGCAGGGGTTCCCCCCCCCTTGGGGTGCATTCAAGCACATATCCCCTCTCCCCATTGGCAGATACATTCCGGGAAAATAGTTTTGTGATTTTGCTGAATGTATAGAATGTCCAGTCTTTATTGTAAGGATGGGATTGAAGACTAGGAGGATTAAGCTACGGCTTGACAGAAAAAGATGGCATTTGAAGGAAGTGAGTTCAAGAACAAGAGGCATGCTGGGAGGGTATTTCAGGCACACGGGGACAATGAACAGCCACTGATTTTATTATCTTCTTAATTTCCTATCCTCTTCAGAATCCAGACAGATCCATAAAAACACTAAAACATATATTACCCCCCCCATTAAAATATGATATTGTGCTCATTATGCTTATATTTGGCCTGGTGGCAGTAAGTCAACTCCCGCCCCTTCTCTTAGCTCCCCCCCCTCAATAATTTGAGGAGGAAGAGAGAAAAAATGGAGATAAGGGAAAGGGTGTTAATGGTGACTCTTTAGGAAGTTCCTGCAATTCCCGTGGTAAAGACCATAGAGACTGGGGGAATTGTTGGGTCATCACCCAGAAGTGATGAAACTCCACCTTTCCCAGGCACCAGACCAAAAATCTCCCAGCATTTGCCAGCATGGGGCTGGCAACCCTACTGTCTATCCTCCCGGTTTTAAAAGGATTCTTTCTGCCTTCACACTGCCTTGAAAAAGGCCCTTTCCCAACCTCCATCTCTTCATGGAGTCTCCTTTTCTTGAAGTCTAATCGCCAGGGGTCATTTCATAGAAAAAGAGCTAGGGAAACTCATTAGCATAACTCATTAGCATATGCTACACCCCCTGACATCAGGGGCCTGCAAGGCCAGCAGGAGTGCGAGGAAGCCCCGCCAAGGCCCTCCCTTGCCCCAGGCAGGCAGGGGTGGGGAGAGGCGGGGAGGAAGCAACTTACCCTCCCACTTCTCCTGCCTCCTCCTGGCTGAATGAGGGCTGGAAGTAGGGCGGCCGGAAGCAGGGGGCGGGGCTTCATCATGTGCCTCGCTCCCCTGCACCTCACCCGGGGGAACTGCGTTCCCCCACGTTCCCCCCCAAAATGACCTCTGCTAATTGCCTGCTTTTCTCGTGTCCTCCCCGGGTCCTTGCAATAAAAGATGTACGTTGCAAGTTCTGAGCTGAAAACTGAATTCTCGAGCATTTGCATGCTGACTCGGATCAGACCGCTGTGCACGGGAAGGGGGTGTTTATGCCTTCACACAGAGTTCAAGCGCCAGCTCCATCATGCCCAAACACAGGGCCTTTTGAGGCCTGCACATTTAAAATTAAGCATAACATCTAATTTATCATTTGAAGTCCACAGCAGTAGAAAGAGAGGCATGATAAAACTTTGTTCTTCTGGGCTCCCAGCAACAAACCCCACAATTCACATAAAATTTCCCCACCACCCAGCCCACAATTCTTACCCCAAAGGTGTCTTCCTCTGGTTTATGCGTCACTGTGATAAGCGGAGTGGGGCTTGGACTATATTCAACTGAAACCAGAAGACCAAAGAACAGAAGTTCATGACATGTTCCAGAGAAAACAAATCAAGCGTCCTAAACCAAACAGTTCTACAGTGGCTACAAGCACCTGATTGAGTCCCAACCTCCACTATGAATTTTTATTAACCTTTTATTTTTGCAGGGGTAGGGAGGGGCTTCTTAAACCGGTGACCATATGAGGTGGCTGTGAGTTCCACAAGCCAAGAATGTATTTTACAATTTTAAATTATATGTTTATCCATACCCACCCACAGATACGTATATGGTTTTTCAGAGAAGAATCCTAAGCATGCTTACTCAGAATCAGACTCAGATCTATTCAGTGGGGCTTACTCCCAGGAAAGTATTTTGTAAGATTGGGTTGTGGATACCTGGGACTTAGTCTTGCCATAAGCAATCATGAATTCATTTTTGTAGAAAAGCAAAGTACCGTTGCTGGGTTTTTAAAGAAAATAATGGGCTGTATCCTGATGATGTTCCACTGAACACATGAAGCTGCTTATACTGAATCAGACCATTACTGTCCAGTGAGATTGACAGCAGCTCTCCAGGGTCTCTGGCAGAGGTCCTTCGCATCACCTCCTTTTAGCCAGAGATCGTGAGGATTGAACCGGGGACCTTCTGCGGGCAAAGCATAAGCTCTGCCACTGAGCCACGGCCCCTTCCACTGATGGAGGAAGGGTGGATCTTGTTCAGTCTGCCATCTCATATTAGCCCCCCAATCCAAGCAGGTTTTTGTCCACCACAGTCCTGCCCAATGACCATGTCTTAACCCCCACAGGTTTTTTTTTAACTTTGGCAATGTCTTTTCCTATAACACTAGGGGGCTGCAGGGGAAATGGAAAGGGAAGAACAATCCATAAAAATATCCACAGCAACAGCCTTAAGTGTCAAGAAGAACATCTTTTTCAGTGTCCTGAACCTACTGCCAGTCCACGTTAATGGTAACCCCAATTTTTAGCACTACAGAACATAAAGAAAAATATCTCTCTTTCCCCACCAGTCACCATTTTAAATATATTTAGATATTATAAATAAATAAATATTAAATATATCTCTATCATACCTTCATCTATTCTCCCCCCTCCCCACACACACATCCTAAACTAAGAAGCCTCAAATTCCTTGTAGGCTACTCCATTCCCCCACCAATATTGTAGATTACAATTTGCTGTTATGGACTCATTTATAGCATTCCTTGTCATCCCACACCAAAGAGCATCCTTATGTCCCCACCACCTATTGTAAAGAGCAGCCCAGATAATCAGATAAGACAAAGAGGCAAGAAGCCACTTACATGTGATGATGCTATCTGAAACGCCTGCAAGAAATACAAAGAAACAAAATGAATAAGGTTACCAATGTGATTAAAAGAAAGAAGGGTCCACATTAAACTTGCCCTTCATTGAATAATCCCCCCCCCCAGCCTTTGCAAGGTTTTTTACTAACCTACAAAGTGATTCTTGAGAAGGATATGTGCACAAGCAGACAACCATCAAACAAAGCAATATGGTGTAGTAGGAACAGTGCTGGGTTCGGAAGCTGGATATTCTGCAGCCATTGTATGATAGCGGTCATTTGCATCTAGACAAGCCAATTGCAACTGGCTGCTATTGTGAAACTGTAGTGCAATATCCAAAGGTGCAGTCTTAGATCGGGGAGTTCCAAATTAATATCCCTACTCAGTCCTGGAATTCACTGGGTGACCTTGTGCAAAAAGAGTCTCTCTGTGTCACCTACTAGCTGCAAATAACTAGTGAATGTCATTATTAGATTTGAATTTTACTTAATTACATTTCACCCTGTACTTCTTGTATTCCACGGAGTTCCAAATTAATATCCCTACTCAGTCCTGGAATTCACTGGGTGACCTTGTGCAAAAAGAGTCTCTCTGTGTCACCTACTAGCTGCAAATAACTAGTGAATGTCATTATTAGATTTGAATTTTACTTAATTACATTTCACCCTGTACTTCTTGTATTCCACAGCCCCTTGAACCTGTGGGTTTTAAAAATCTATATTAAATGTCTGCACAGTTGAGGATCCACTGCACTGCATCTGAGGAAGTGGGCTTTCATCCCCAAAAACTAATGCTGTATTAAAATTGTATGAGTCTTTAAGGCACCACAAGACTCCCATTTGTTTTTGCTGTAACAGAAACACAGCAAACCCTCTGGAACTTCTGCCTTCAAGTGCTGTCGTAAGAGTAAAGGACCCGGATTAAGGGACAGGACTAAAATATACTAGATAGATAAGATAAATAAGGCAGATAGATAGAAACAGACCTTGAAATGTTTCATAATTTCCATGTAGGTAGAGATGTCCAATGATCAGGCATCTGCTATGGGATCTTTTACATATTTTAAATACTTCGGTCAGTGCTCATCTCAGCTTGTCCATCACCAACGTGGTACAGTGGCTTGAGTGCCAGAGACCCAAATTCAATCCCCATACATTTATAAGGCTGTCTAGGTGAGCTTGGACAGTCCCTGTTGTTCAGCCTAAGCTACCCTAACCAGGCTGTTGTGAAGACAACAGGGAGGAGGGGGGAAACACATAAGCTACCCTGAGCACCTCTGAGGAGGGGTGAGGCAGAACTCTGTTGGATTCTGGGCAGCAGCAGAAGCAAAAGCGCCTCCCCAAGAGACCAGCAACCACCACCACCACCCTGAAAGAGATGACCAGGTAAGGCAGCAGCAGATGCACAGCCCAGCCCAGCCCAGCCACTCACTCACTTAGGCCAACGAGACCAGAGCCATTCATTTGCTGGTCTCTCTTGAGATGCTCGGGGTTGCCAAACCTTTTAAGAGAGATCCGTGCTTTTTGCTGCTCCTGCCCAGATAGAGGAGGAGAAGGTGGAAAGGTGGAGAGGACAGCAATGTTCCCTCTAAGCTGTGGAGTCCTGTGAGCAAAAATTCTACTTTGTGAGCTACTGGCATTAAAGTTGTGAGTGAGCAATTTGGCTGCCACATAAATTAGTTTGCTCTGGAGCCAGCCCTTCCTGAGCTAAGACAAAAATGTGTGAGCCGGAGGCTAAAAAACTGTGAGCTAGCTCACACTAACTCAGCTTAGAGGGAACAATGGAGGACAGCAGGAGACATCTTGTGGGAGGGGTCCCCAAACCTGGAGCCAGCCCAGATCCATTGACAAGCCTTACAGGGGGACCCTAGAAAATGGATCTGTGCCTATACAACCCAGCAGGACTCATCTGTTATCCATAAGCCCTTGTACAGTTTTGGCATCGTCCAATACATATTTGCTTTTGCACAACTCTCAGCTGGAATCCTGGCACCCTATGCTTTAATGCCTGGCAGTGACACTCGGCTTACAAGCAGCCCAGAGAAGAAAGCCAGATTTCTATTTTACCCATCAGCTTAGCTAGCTGAATCTGAGACGAAGGAGACTTGACACAGCTTTTGAGGCAGAAGATGCTAGGAATGATTTAGCAATGTGACTCATTGAAAAGGGGAGGGGTAAAGGGTAGTACAGTACAGCCCCCCGGGAGGGCTGCAAGCAGAGCTTGAAAGGAACCGAAAACTCCAACTCCGTTGACAAAGGAGGATTTGGTTTTGCTTAGCCACCACGTGCTAGATCAGCACTTTCTGACCCCAATTTAGGTCACATCAAAGCTGACCTTGGAGGAATAGATTTGTTTTCTTTTTTTTCTCCCCCCCCCTTTTTGCAGAATGTAAGTTTGCCTTTAGAACCCTGATCAGCAACTCATTTCAAGAAGGGTGGTGGCCAGCATCTTGAACCCCCTGAAGAAGTTAGCCCAACAGCAAGTTCCGTCACTACAGTTGTCATTGTTTCATTTTGCTAAATGTATAGAATGTCATTGCTGAATGTCATTGGGTTTCACGACAAAACTAGTGGGGGGGGATTTGAAGAACCTTTTGGAACTCCCTCTTGCAAAATTTTGGATCTCTCTCTTGCACTGCATCAAACACCTTCACATTACACTATCACATGACTTCGATTTCACAGTCATTCCCCCTTCCCACCTGAGTTCTACCAGAAAAGACAGAGATCTCTACCACACTTTGTACAATCCTTTTCAGGAAGTGAAACTGATTCAAATTAGCAGCACTGCTATTCCTTTTCAAATAACTCTTAATACACAATTTTGTTTTGAGTACTGTTTAAGACTAAGAGTTCTGTTCAAAACATGGCATCAATAATTGCATTGTGCTAGGTTTCTAGAAGAGGTATGGGCCAAGTAAACAGAAATGTGCGTTAACAGCAGTGCAACAGCAGGACACCACACATTGTGTCAAATATATATGAATCACACACACAGAAGGAGGATTTTCAAGACACCATCAAGCATTAGCTTATCCTTATAACACAAAAGGATGACATCTTAAGCTCTGATCCACAAAAGGCTTACCTGTGCACTAAATACTACCTAATCCCAGTAAAATGTACAAGGCCACTTGCTAGTTAAGTTAAATGCCTCTTTTCATCAACGGAGAAGGAAAAGGAGTTACATGCCCGGCTCTCCAGTCATTGAAACAAGAAAAGGGTAAATGTGCAATCTACTTAGAAGTGGCAGGGGGAGGAGAGGGGATTAAAAAAATTAAAAAAAAAACCCTGTAGCTGTGATTACAAGAGAAACGAGAGTGTTGTACTTTTCCTGGTTTCAAAAGAGCCTTTTTCAGATGTTCAGTTTCGGCATCCCAACCACATATAATGGGAATATGCAGTGCACTACCCATGATCTTCTCTATACCTGTGGTTCAGAAAATACATGCATATTTTCCAGCTTTGGTACACCTAAACCGGAGACTATTTTTGAGGGTATGCCGTCACATATACTGAACCTGTACATGTATGGAAAAATACACTTCTAGGCCTATTCATACAAAATGATGAGCACATGTATTGGGAGGATCATGTAGAGCACACATGCTCCTGTTATGGTGTGCCAAAAATTGAACATTTGACATATAGACAGTGGTGTAGTTAGAGCACTGGACTTTGCTCTGGGAGCCCCAGGATCAAATTCCCACTCTGGTCCTTTCCGCACTTGGATCTCATCCCTGGTTTGATCAGAGTTCAACTCGCAACACAATACCTTGCATTTATCCCTGGTTATAACAGCATCCGTTTATCCTGGGACAAGCAAAACCTGGGTGACCTCAATGTAATGTGGAAACAAAAAAATACCCCGAGATAATTACAGGGGTGAACTCGAGTGTAGTGTAGAATGTAAGTTCAGGGACAGGGCTGAACCAGGATTTAAGCTCTAGTGTGGCATCACTCTCTGTCATGTAAGCTTGCTGGGTGACCTTGGGCCAGACACATGCTCTCAGCCTAACCTACCTCATAGGTTTGTTGTGAGGATAAAATGGAGAGGACAAGAATGATATACTCAGGGGTCGTTTCGTAGAAAAAGAGCTAGGGGAACTCATTAGCATAACTCATTAGCATATGCCACACCCCCTGACATCAGGGGCCCCACGGTGGACCTGCAAGGCCAGCAGGAGTGCGAGGAAGCCCCGCCAAGGCCCTCCCTGGCCCCAGGCAGGCAGGGGTGGGGAGAGGCGGGGAGGAAGCAACTTACCCTCCCTCTTCTCCTGCCTCCTCCTGGCTGAATGAGGGCCGGCAGCAGGGCGGCCGGAAGCAGGGGGCGGGGCTTCGTCATGTACCCCACCCCACCCTGCACCTCACCCGGGGGAACTGCGTTCCCCCGCGTTCCCCCCCGAAATGACCTCTGGATATACTTTTCTTTAGGTTCCCATTGGGGAGAAAGGTGGGCATACATTTAAATAAATAGATAAATCCAGGGCTATTTTTGGGCTGCCACCGCCGGCCTTGCAGCTCCACTGCTGAGCCCCATGAGGGGCCCGGTGGTGGACCTGCAAGGCCAGTGGGAGTGCAAGGAAGCCCCGCAAAGGCCCTCCCTGGCCCCAGGCAGGCAGGGGTGGGGAGAGGCAGGGAGGAAGCAACTTACCCTCCCTCTTCTCCTGCCTCCTCCTGGCTGAATGAGGGCCGGAAGCAGGGCGGCCGGAAGCAGGGGGCGGGGCTTCGTCATGTGCCCCACCCCCCTGCACCTCACCCGGGGGAACTGCGTTCCCCCGCGTTCCCCCCCGAAATGACCTCTGGATATACTTTTCTTTAGGTTCCCATTGGGGAGAAAGGTGGGCATACATTTAAATAAATAGATAAATCCAGGGCTATTTTTGGGCAGGAACGCACAGGAACTGAGTTCCGGCTGGTTTCAGAGTTGACCACGCCCACTACAGCCAAAAGCTCTGTGTGTGTGGCTACAGAGGAAAGTCCTGGAGAGCGACCACCCCCTGGTGACTCGAAGGTGGGCGGGCCAGGGGGCCCCCAGGAAGGATCGGGGAGTGCCTTTCCCAGCCTGTCCAAGGGCCAGCTTGCCCGGGCAAGCCAAGGGAAGGCATGGGGTGTGGCCTATTATGCTAATAAGTTCCTGTTGGGCTTTTTTTGTAGAAAAAGCCCAGCAGGAACTCAGTAGCAGAATTAAATTAATTAATTAAATTAGCATAATTAAAAAATAAGTGGATAAATCACAAAGAAATGAAGTGGCTCTTAAGTTTCTGGGCTGTATTACCACACCACGATTCAGACCAACCGCAGCTTGCTGCTATGGGAATGAAACTGAGGAGGAGGTCTTTGGCCTTAAACATTTTCTCCTTTGTCCTATTATATGTAGCAATCTAATTAAAGACTGCCCAGTCATGAAAAAACATGGTTGTCATCACAGCCAAGACACAAATGGCCACAAAGAAGAATCCTTTAAAACAGACTGTCACATGCAAGAAATGGTGGGTGTGGGAGCATACAATCCTGGGGACCTCACAGGCTCCTTCACAGAATGATAAACCATATTCGATGGGAGCCATTGCAGTAAATTGGTTCCCACATCAGACAGGCATCTGGGAGACTCACAGCAGAATTGTCAGCCTGCCATGGAAGCTTGCTGGGTGACCCTGGGCCAGTCATTTATTCTCGACGTCACCTACCTCACAGGGTTGTTGTGAGGATAAAATCTGAGGAGAGGACATTGATGTAAGCCACGTTGGGTCTTCACTGGGGAAAACGGCGGGGTATAAATGGGATTCAC